ACCAGACGAAACTTCATGCAATCAGGTGATCTGAGAATAAGATCTCAATAGAATAGAAGGGTTTTAAAAGGGATGAATAAATGTGAGGATTTTCCAACCACACCTGCTTGGTACAGTAGTATAAGTCCCCTCCTCAGGGCTCTCTATTATCAGGATCATGCACTCTAAATTATGAATGCACATGTGGGCTAATGAAAGAAATGTATGCACATACCAGCTTAAACGAATCTGACAGTGACTCCACAGAAGTGTATGCCAAATAAAGAAGAGCACTTTTGTAGAACTGGGCAAATTCTTGACAGAATTTATGAAATTGAGATGAAACCCAGTAAAAACTTGCATATACTGAAGGATCAATGTCAGTCATGCTATCAAGGGTGCTTTTTCCATCTTCCAAAAGTTTCTTGCACTCTTTTTGGTCACCTTGCTCAAGCTTAAACAAAGCAATTTGCATCTTAATGTAAAGAATTGGTTCCTCAATGCGCTGCTCTCTAGTATCCTGAAGCTTGTGAATCACCCCATCAAGGTAACCAATAGCAGCTTCTTTCTCGGGGTACTGCCGAGAAACAATAACAGCAAAATGTGCAAGCTTCAGGAGATTGATCTTGGTCTCAAAGTCAGTGATGAAATTATGGTATAGCTGTATTAGAGCATCACCAGCCTGAAATTTAACATGAACAGGAAGGAGAAAGGATTCAGTTAAAAATCACTTAAACAACACAAAAAACTTAATGAATCAGTATATTGTACATCATTACGCATGTAGGCCATATTTCAGAATTAATCAACATAGAGATATTTGCAGAACTATAAGCCAATATGATAGGAAATCCAGGAAGCAATACTAAAGATACATGATTGCATTTGCATCCCCAGCCAACTGCACCAAAAAGCTCATCAACAGGTTATCTACAAATGCATCTGGTAAATCTGGTAGAACCTTATATTGCAGTGTTGCACTTGAAATGCCACTGGGACCTCTAAGTTATCCTTCCAAAGCATACAAATTCAAAGTGGTTCCCAGAACATGACTTGTCGAATCCCAACTTAGGAATCATAATATTGTTATTAA